GTTATATTCTAAGAAATTTATTATTAACCCACTTGATATAATCCAAAGTTAACATTGGAATTGCATATAAAAAGGCGTATTAAGTCACGTGATAGCATTCAATATTTATAGTGAGCTTATACGTGAAGGAGCGCGTTGAGTGGAAAAATCTCATATCGAATGCATAACAAATAAGTATGTGATTTTATTACTAATTAGTTTTAAATTGAATGCAAATTTTGTATTGAAATCCATATATATAATTTTTATAATACACACATTTTTAATCCTCAATTTTAAAGTTTTGTATAATTTTCATCTTTTAATTTAAAAGTTCAATGACTAAAAATATGTATATATAAATAGATTTAATAAATAAACCGATAAAATATTTAAAAAATATATATTTCTTATAATTGGAGAATTTAAAAAGTCCATAAAAACTTAAAAAAACGAAAGCTATACAATGGCTTAAAGTTCAAAAGTTGAAGGACTAAATTAGTATTTAACTTATAATATTTTAAAATATTCCGTGCTACGTTTCCCCGTATGCTGCCAAAACTATACAGTAACAAACAAAACTTTAGACGGTTACACCCAAAACCGAAGACGCCCGGCACCTCATGGAAAAGTTTGGGTTTTAGTTCGAGTTACGACACTACCATCCAAAAATTTCCCCCCATCTTTTGCCTCAATCAGTATCTGTTCAGGAGTATGTCTTCCTAACCTGATGGCTACATTTTCCTTGTAAAATATTTTTAATAGGTTAAATGTTAATTTTGATCCCTTAATTTTAAAGTTTGTATAATTTTTATTTTTTTATGTATTTTTTTATCCCTTAATTATAAAAATTATATTTTTTTAATTTTTTTATCAATTAATTTATTAAATCTATTTAAATTTGTATAAAAATTTTAGTAGTGCTTGGAGATGGAGTCAACCACCGTTCCACCCTTTCCTTTGCAAGGGATATCATCAGTAGTCTCGCAACTTCTACTCAATAATTAACCAAGCTACTAATTTGTCATGGCTGAACTCTCAAATCCCTCCCTCCAAATAAGGTAGGATAGATCCATTCCTTAAAAAATAAACATAAATTGTAATGTTGATAAAAATAAATTACTTATTATTTAATAGCTAACGATGTCATCACATCTCAAGAATATATTTGTTATTTAAGTATGTTTATAACTAAAAATTGATGTACGATGCCATCAGTCATTATTACATGGCAGTCACTAAATAATGAGTTATTTATACCAATTAAAGATTTAAAAGTGAAATTTATCTTTACTTTTTCTTCTATGTTTTTTGGATAGATCTCTTCCTGCCCTTATCTGAGAGGTAATTAAATTTCAGGGGTTTGCCATTTGCCATCATTTATGTTATATATATACTTGTATACTTTCAACTTCTAATTAGTACA